AATAAAAAAATACAGAATATTCTGTTAAAGTATTGTAATCTTACGAATCAATATCTGAATAAATTATGAAAGAATTTTGTTATAAAATAAAATTTTGTTTTATTTGCAAAGTCATTGCATTATAAATATTTAAAATATTTTTGATATTTTTTAAATACAGTATATAATATAAAGATCAACAACAAAAATATAATTTATTATTGTCTAATTATGCCATTTAACAAATAAAACAATATTTTAAATAAAAGATAAATATCTATATTTATATTAAAATATTTAAGTCATAAAACATTTTATTAAATATTAAAAACACTTTTAATACTTTTAAATAATAAAAACCAGGGTTAAGCATGTTTTCGGATTTTAGGGGTGAAGACTTTTCATGCATTTTTAAACAGCAATTTAAAAAAATCAAAATCAAGGGGTAAAGAGAAAATTCCCTAATATTTTTATGTAAATATATACATCAAAGGAAAATGGGTAAATATTCCCAATAAATTGCATTATTTATCAAAATATTTTTAAAAATTAATATAGATTATACCTTACCCCCTTACCCCTTACTTAACCCTGAATAAAAACATATATTAAAACAATTTTTTTGAATATATGTTATTTTAAAAAGAGATTTAATAAGAGATAGTAATGTCAAGAGTTAGTAACTGTTTAACAGTGTTTTTAATCTTTAAACAGTTTAATGATCAAAATATTTAAAATCATTATTTTTTTTGTTTAAATTTTTATTCAGTATAATAATCATAATAATTCGAGATTTAAATATTATTAATAATATATCTATAACAGTATGTAATATAAAAATAAATAAAGTACTATATTTAACATAAATTTATGCTACGGTAATAGTAAGTTATATAAAAAATGTATAATAATACAACACAATAATATACTAGTGTTATACAATATACCGTTTATTTACAGTATATATATATATATATATATATATATATATATATTGTATATTGTATTGTATATATATAAGTATATATATATTTAAAAACATATAAACATACAAACAATAAATATAAGTAATTGTTTAGAAAATAGCAAAATAGTAAATTAAATGAAAGTCTATTGTGTTTACGTTCATTAAAAGCTCACTTTCATTGAATGTCTAAATCATTATTTCTTTAATCTATTAGTATTTCATTGAATATGTGACACTCAGTGATATATATAAAACAAGTAAATATACGAAATAATCATTATTTTGGACAACAATTGAATTCATTGAATGTATGTTTAGAAAGAAAGAGAGAGAGAGAGAGAGAGAGAGAGAGAGAGAGAGAGAGGGAGAGAGAGCTGTAGACTAGTACTGTATATACTGTAGTGCTTATTGTAAACACAATTTAATAAATCAATTGAATCGTCTCTTTCACTCTTTATTGGCAGTCATGTCATGAGTTTTTAAATTAAGTTTTTTTCCTCAAAATCAATGTTTCAGAGAAAATGTTTAAAATGATATCTATTCCCAAATATATTTATATATAAATACAGTATATATTTATTGATATATTTATGTATAATATTAGTGTATAGTATACACTGTATACTATATATATCTAAAATTGAGTTGAGATAAAACAAGTGTAGATTTGAAACTCTATTGAGAGTTGGATTTGAAATTTGAATTTTTATTTATAAAATATGTTTTAATGCTAAGCTTGAATATATTATACAAAATAGACTGTTATAGACTATCGTAAAATATTTATATATAAATTTTATATCATTTCAAATAAGATTTTTTTCGAATTGAAAGATATTGTTTGATATCATTATAATATTTTTTTTGTATAAAAATATTTTTAAACAAATCAAATAAATCATATATTTGAAGATGAGTTTAAATAATATAGTCTAATAGTATAGACAGCAGTGACAGAAATAATATCATTAGTTCAAAATAAAAAGGAGACAAACAAACAAACAATTGGTGTCTAAGCGCTGACACATTAATAAAGTTAATGTTGTTTTTCCCCTTTTGTTTCCATTATATCATCGCTAAAATAACTAATATTTGTTGTTTAGTTAGTGATAAAAAAATAAATTTAATAATTATGAGTACATACAGTATTTTATGTTTTTATTGTCATTCATATTATTGCATATAATTATTAAAATAGAATTCAAACATTAATTATAATAGTATCGTAAAAATATGAAATCATTAAATTTAATTTAATAACAAAATTTTTAGACTAAAATTAAAGAATTTGAATAATAATAATATTAAATAATGATTATAAATTTAGTACAATAAGTATTTTTATAAAAATAATTATTGCATATAATTAGCTTATATTATGAATATTCTGTATCCGGAATATCAGTACTTTATAACAATATTTTATAAATACGTATTCAGTTTATTATAATTTATGATATCATTAATTATATAACACCTACACACAGGTGTATAAATAGACCGTTTTTATTAAAATAAATAAATAAAACGTTATTCATTAATATAATTATAAAGTCATTTTATATATTTTATTTTTTATAAATAGATAATCCTTAAAGAAATTTTAATTATTACAAATATGTTTGACCACTAATCTCAAAGTGAGTTCAACTCAATTGAATATTTAAAAAATTAATCAAAACTACATTAAAAAAATGTTTAAAAAAATGCATCAAAATGTCTATAAAAATTAAATTAATTTAATATAATCTAAACTAAAAACAACGACTAATACAGCTAAATGTCTGGCACTTGTGTGCAACACATCTGTTACCTCTTTATGTTTGTATGACTTTTTCTTTATAAAAAAAATAACACAAAGAAAAACAGCAAAAGTTAATTTTTTGGTGAAAAATAATGAGTCAAAAAGATATATTTAAAAATATAATGTATATTATAATCAAATGATTGTAAGTATTTATATAAAGACAAAACTCTAATTTTTTTTTGAAAACATTTAAACTTAAATATTGTACACTAAATGTTTTTTATATAAAAATTCAGACTAATTATGAAAATAGTTAACAATTGCTATCAAACATATAGTGATTACTTTTATATATGGATTTTGTGATGAATTGTTTAGAAGTCATTCATTCGTACGAATTGTGAACGAAAATAATGATAAAAAGACATTATTTTTTTGAAAAAATAATTTTTATTTTATTTTTTATTATTAATACTATAAAAAAAGTTAATCTCAAGAAAATAACAATAAGTTTCAAGAAATGTGATTCAATGCTATTGTCGGCTTATATTTGCCATAAACTTGTAAGTAAACTAAAACTATGGAAAATATGTATATAAAATATACCGGTATAGCCCATGGCTTATAAGTTATATACATATATTTATATGACTTATGTTCAGTTTATAATAGAAATTAGTTATTTTATATAATTTAATAATAAATTATGTATATATTAATAGCAATAGCAATAATAATATAAATAATAATAAATTATTTATTATTAAAAAATATTTCTAGTAAATCTTTATACATTATATTTATTTAATTACGATAAATATTACGGTATACGGTATAAGCTACTGAAAGTTATATAATATTTTATAGCAAAAGTTAAAATATAATAACTAAATAAAATTATAATAATTTCAAATTGAACTGAAATGTCAAATAAAGGACACATCAATAGGTAATGGATGTAAAAATGTATCGATAGGTTTACCATTGCTGATGACTATAACGGGAATCAAATGATCGCCATATGAGTCAAGTATACGTTCAAAATGATAAAGTGATTCAATCCAATGACCATCAATTGGTCCGATAATACCGTATTTTTTTAAATGTCGATTTCCGAAGTGATTATAAGTTTTAGTAAATTGAATACAATTAATATCTGCAATGAACCTCATGTCGAGTCCCAACTTCAACGAGTGCTGTCTTTTTCTAACTATTTCTTGTTTGTTATAATAGCCAACTGATCGTTCAATGAATGCCTTAATATCGGCGACAGGTATATCATATGTTATAGTATTTCTATTCATATTATGGACGCCAGCCAACTGTCCATTAGTATTGATGAGTGGACCACCAGAGAAACCGTGCGGCACTTCGGCTGTGTGTTCAACGAGAAGCATATTAGACGATACATAATGCGAATACTTATAGATGTGATTACATGATCTGATATCACGGGCCGTACTAAGTGGACACATGACTGTTCCAGTGGTTAGACTGCAGTATATGTCGAAAAATCCCAAACTGACCACTTGATCGCCAAACTTTGTCGGTGTCAACATTGTTAACGATGGGATCAAATCATTATTATTATCAAACTTAAACTGAATGAGTGCTAAATCATGTTTGTGGTCAATATATATTACTCGACCACATCTTAGTTGACAAACATTTGGTTCCCCGGGGTTTAGATATAAAACATCACACGAGTGGACACCTCTTAAGACATGACTACTGGTAATAGCAAATCCCATTGATATGTCAACAATAAAACCGGATCCAAAGCTAGGCTCTCGTCTATCTTTAGTTCTCAATGATATCGTTACTAACTTATATAGTGACTGATTGTACACCTCTTCAATGTCGGTATTGTTGTCTAATATATGAGCTCTCCTTAATAGACTAACAAAACTATTATTTTGTCTCCAATTATTCAAATTATTTAAATAATGATAATCTCTTGACTTGTTTTTCATTAAATTGTAACAAATGACAGCCAGAACTGACAGTTGTGGTGTCTTTTTCACAGCTAATGAAAGTACATTCAAGAAGACACACATTTGTTTAGTTGACAAATGGGGTGTTCTTTACTTTAGGTCCCATATTATTGTTCCGCAAAACTTATTTGTACTAAATCTGGTTATATGTTTTGTATCGGTTTTGACACGCGTTTAAAACATTCATTACGTGTATTGCAAATGCACGAGACATACAATATTTATTATTAAAACCATTTTAAAAACCAGATAAACATATTTAAACAATTAAATTAATAAAACGAGACAACAATTCGGATCTATTCTATAGTATAGAACAAAAATTTTTGGGGTATTGTATAGTATAAGACTTGTTAGGACGCAATAATTATTTCTATATATTTTAGTTAAGTTTAGGTTAGGTTAGGTTAGGTTAGGTTAGGTTAGGTTAGGTTAGGTTAGGTCAGGTCAGGTTAGGTCGAGCAACAATAAATATTTACCGTTAAATATATAGAAATATTAATCGCATGCTAACAATTGGCAGTTATACTATACAATTACCCGTTTTTGTCATTTATTCAAATTTGATTTATTTTGTTTATAAAGTTTTTTTTGGTAATCCCTAATGTATTTGTAAAAAAAAGTTTATCGGTTTTCATAAATTAAAACATTAGATATTTTTATACTACAGTCAAACAAATTAACATTACCAGTGATATCCAAAAAAGATGACCACCGATGACAACAAAAGACATTATGTTATGAACGATGATATAATTGGACTCATATTCAACAAACTCAGTGCCAAACAATTGTGTCGTTTGCAGACTGTTTGTCGACAATTCAAAGAGTGCAGCGAACAGACATTGAAAAACAAGTCGTGGACTATAAGAGTTGGCCATCAAAAAGATGACACTAAAAATGTTTCGATTGTTACCATCAATCATATGATCATCCGTACCGACAATATCTTTGATTTAGTCGAAAGTCATCAACAGTTTGATTCCATACTCAAGAACTTTGCTATCGTCCGGACAATACAAATGAGTCTCTGTTATATCAATCGGCAAACCATTGAAAAGATTGTCAATCGTTGCCCACATTTACAGAGACTTGAGTTGTGCTGTATTTATATGAAGACATCGGATGACGAAGAGCTGAGACAAATGGCAAGTCTATTATCAAAAATTAAATATCTATCGTTCAGATGTGTAGATGACAGCAGAACCAAAGTATTTACCATTGATTTGATCAAAGAATTATCATCACTGGAATCGCTAAGGATATCCACATTTTTCAATCACTCAATTGTTGAACAAATAGTCACATATTTTCCACAAACTCTTCGTTCACTCCACTTGATTGACAACAATTGGCGTTTGACATCATTAGAGACTATCATCAATCGTTGTCCTCATTTGGATCAGCTGTCCATTGAAGAGATGAACTATTTTATGGAATGCAATGATATATTCATCAATATTTGTTGTAAACTAAACCTTAAGAACTTAGCCTTTCGTTTCAATAATCTATCAATAGATGTATTCAGTAAATACATTGTAAAACAAACACAACTCAAGACATTGTCCATCACTTCCGACATGTGTTTTGATGTGACGAAAATGAAAACTATGAATAGTTTAAAAACTATAAAACTCTATTGGATCAGATGTTTACCAAAGTTGTGGTCAAATTTACCGAAAGTTTTTCCAAACTTAAGTCACATATCGTTTGATGAAATAGTGATACTTTGCGAGTGTAATGAAGATCAGCCACAAACCCATTGTCGCCAATGTCAGCATAAATGCATGCAATCTATAGCACAGTTGACTCATTTAAAACGATTATCGCTAACAAAGTATTACAATCGACCTGTGATTGGCACCGATGACCTCAAACTGTTTAGCGAACTTAATGTATTGAGTTTGAGGACAATTGGCAATCAAAACCGCGACGAAATTGTCGACGAATTGATCCAATATTGCAAACATTGCGCCGAAAAAAGAGTGTCACAAAAGTGTCTGAAAGTGATGACAAACATTGAAATACGGAAACCACTGGAACAAAGACTTAAGCAATCATTCGCTGAAATGAATCAATTGATTCCTAAGTTTTTGAAAATCACAAATTTGGATGATTTCGGATGTTTTGAATAAATATAGCTTTAATACAATATTTATGTTTAATGTACTGATTGATTGAATATTACTATTCAATAGTTAATAAAAAAAATCCACAAAATTTATTTTAATTGTTTTTATTTTTTTTTTTTAATTATCAGCACTTTTAAAAAATAGTTTTTACTAAAAGCTCTTAAATATTTTCGTAATTACAAATTTTTGATGTGTATTTTAATTTTAAAAAATATATATAATATTGAGATAAGACGCTTCAAATAGTATAATATAAATTTATATTTAAAATGCTATATCTATTAATCAATGATTTTTACTGGCATTATATAATTTGTTAGTTTATAAACTAAATAAGCTTACTCTATAACATTGATTTATATGTTTTATTTCTATAATATTACATAAAATACACATTGAATGACCAATATATAGCAATACATGAAATATAAGCTCAAATGCAATACAATTGATTTATAGACTATAGCCTATGGCTTAATAGTGTTTATATGTGATGTAAATATACGATATAATAGTATAAGAGTTAAGACAAACAATTTATTTGATTGAGTTTATTACAGATATTATAGTAAAGTATAGTAATATATAGTATATTGTTTGTAATAGAAATGATAAATTCAGTAAAATATTCATATAGTTTACGGCCAAATGAATGCCAATGTATTAACTAATGTGTTATTTCATTGAAAGCTTTATATTTGGTTTTTGAGCCAAAAGAAAGGCACCAAAAATTTATTGGTTTTCCACTCCGACAGGCGATACCATTGATAGCACTGTTAGTTATCAATAGACTTCTCTAAAGAAAATAAATGTTGTGTTGATTTCAATTTCATAGCAAATGCAGACATTATTGTATAGTTTGTGTCGATATATTGCAAGTCGAGACCATTACCTCTACAATGATATAGTGTATGTCGTCAAAAACAAACCTAAAGTAACGGTGCGATAGACGACAAGTCTCCACTAGCATATCATTTGCATCCCTGTCCTCCTACTTCACAGACAATCAGTCTTATCTGTTATCGGAAACATTGCCAATGAGTTCACTGTCAGTGTCACAGCCATAGCGTAACAATTGGTGTAACCCATGAACCTAACCGTTCGCAACCCAACCCCTGGTTTCTAATATATGACTGTTTCTCTTATTTTAGATTTTTCTTATTTTTTCTTTTGTTTTTAAATGATTTTCTCGACAATTGTCTCTAAAAATAAAACACAGTTTCAAATAACACAAACACAGCACTCTATACATAAGTGAGTGAATTGTTGTCACAATTGTGTTTGTAGTTGTGTTGTGCTATACTATTAAATATACTGTACTATACTATACTAATAGAAAATAATGCAATACTAAAGCTTTAATAGAAAATACTAATCAAACAAACAAAAAAATAATTTGAATCCCATTTTTACTGATGAGTTTCATTTAACCAAACAATACTTTTAATGCCATTATTATTATTATTATTATTATTGTCTCAAACATTTGTAGTGAAAACTTAGTTACTGTTTTTACAGAAAAGAAATTTTTTTCTCAAAACTACTATATATTGTATTATTGATGCTTTCATAATCTGTAAATTTATATATACAGTATATACCGTATATATCAATAGTAGATCAAAACGTTTTAAACTATACTATAATTTAAAGTCATAAAAATTTGAGAACATATTTGTCTTTTGATTTTTGATGTCTTTTTCCGCCAATGCTTTCAATTGCTTTAAAAACTTGAGTTTCAAGTATTAAAAACATGAGTTTTACTATCCATTTGAAACTTTAATATAAGACTAATAAAAGAATTTATTATTATTTTTTATTTGTTCACCTATTGTAAAATCTTTCATTTCATTTATTTTATTCATTAAAACTGATCTATTAAATTGACGACTTATTTATAGTTGAAAAAATAATTATGCTTGAAATGTGAAATGAGACATACATTAAATTATAAAAAATTATAATTGAAATATTGAATTTAAGTAAATATTTGTTAATAAATATAAAAGACTAATAATATTAATAAGTTAATGTGTTATTAAAAATGTTTTTTTTTAGAAATAATTATTATGTATCACTATAATTTATAATAAAATTGTACATGTTAATTAAATAACAATTGATTATAAATTTATTGAAACAATTAAATAGTGTGTTTAATATGTTTATATAGCTATCTCTTTCAATTGTCATAAAAATAATTCAAATTAATATTATTGAGAATCTATTTAAAATATTATAATTTCTATTTTTTAAAAATAAATCCAATAAAATTAGCTATTTATATGTATATTTGTAAATGAGTGTAAGTGAGTGAGTGAGTGAGTGAGTGAAAGAGATAATTCAAATATAATTTGTGTTTTGCATATCTATTTCATTCTTATTCTTAAAGTATACATTAAAATCAATTTCTTTTTCTGTACTAAAATAGAGTAAATAACAGTCTTTAAGAGTACTGTATATACTGTTAGAGTATATAAGAGTAGAAATAATCTATTTTGCAATCGACTATACATTTTAAATGTCAAATAAATGGTTCACAAGTTTTGTTAGAGTATTGAAAAATATTTTGCCGCAAAATATTTTGAAAATTTCTCACTCTTTTAGCCTCTCTTTCACTTTACTCTAATTAAAATATTCTTTATTCAAGAATATTCTGTATATGTTTTTATCTCAACAATTTTTGTTGCCTCAAAACATTTTATCAGCAAAACTGTTAAGTTTTATACATGAACTTATCAGTTACTGTATATTCTTCTATATAATTATATACAGTATAATATATATATATATATACAGTATATTATACAGTATTTGCATTTATTATAAAAACTCTTTAATTTTAAGCAAATTTTTATACTAGAAACTCAATAACGGTTATAAATATTCATTATAAAGATGTATTCATAACAACAATATTTTAATATATTAAATTTTGCTGTAATTGTTAACTGTATTATATGCGATAATATACAATATTTCTCTTTTATGTTTCAAATTTATAATCGTTTATATAAATAGCAGAAACTTGTGATTTCTATTTTTGTCACACAACGTATTGTCAAATAATAATTATATAAAAATTATAAAATTATTAGAATAATATTTAATTAAAAATATTTGTTTTATAACATTAAACTTTCGACATTAATTTGACAAACTAATATGMTATAAATATGCGAATATATATATATATATATATATATAATTCATAAAAATTACCAATAATTCAAACCGTAAGTAAAACCAAAAATAAAATTATAATAAACTTAATTATTATAATTTTTATTGTTACGTTTATATAGCCATTGATTTAAACAGTATAAACAAGTCATGTTCATACAGAGTACCAGTATATTATGCATTATATGTTATACAAAATGTAAATGTTTACAAAATGTAGAATTTAGGTTAAATGTAAAAAATAACATTTTATTTGACAGTAATAGTGTATAGCGTTAAGTGAAATACTGTATTTTCAGCCAACGGTTAAAGGTTTACAATGAGTTAACCAAAAAAAAACGTTGCTTTCCTATGGTTTGGTGTGAGATATTTATCTTTAAAAAACCCCAACTCATAGACAAAAATAATATATCATTTTTTTCTTCCGCTAAAGTTTGAGTACTAAAGAAAGAGAGAGAGAGAGAGAGAGAGAGAGAGAGAGAGAGAGAGAGAGAGAGATAGAGAGAGAGACTGATGAATAAAATAAAGTACAAAAAAATAGTTTAAGTGTATGTATGTATAATAAGAGTGAATCACAACATAACGTTACGATAAATATTTGGTTGAAAATCGTATTCTGCATAATGATTGTCAGTATACTATTTGATATAACCCTAACATATATTGTATATGAACTTTATATATCATATGATATACAGATGTATACCGTATATATCGTAGAGTAACCCAACCAGTAGTAGTAGTAGTAGTAGTAAATGCATTGAATTTACATTAAGTCAAACATTTTAATGTACTGTATATAATATATATATCGAAATTTAGTGACTCTTTTCATTAAAAAAAGTGAATTTCATTACCAGTATATTCTGTTTGCTTAAGTTATATAAATATAATTATAAAATGATTGCATAAAACAAAATTTATAAACAACTACTGAAAATAGCATATTTGATGTTTTACTAGCATTTAGGTTAACTCATCAATGATTTGCTTTTAAATAAGTTTTGACTTTAATTTTTTTGAGATACACATTATATCTAATTTGACATTCATTAATGTTAGTCATTATTTTAAATAAAATATACTAAAAGTAATAAATAAAAATGTTATCTAATAATAAATAATTTATTATTTTCAAAATATAGAAAACAAAATTACATTATTATTTCTAGAATTTTTATTTTAATCTTAAATTTGTTTTAAATTAAAGAATCTATCAATTTAAAATTAATAATATATATATCAAATATAAATATATATTGTAAAATATACATCAATCATTAATTATTAAAATATTATAGTACTTAATAATATAGACAACAATATAAGAGATAAAAATACAAAAAAAAATATGCGAACAAAGAAAAGTTTAAATTTTTTTCATAAAAATTGACAAATAATTTCAGCAAAAACACTGTCATTATTAAAGTGACCGAAAAAAGAGATGTTGAGAGAGAGAGAGAGAGAGAGAGAGAGAGAGAGAGAGAGAGCACTGAACACTGGTATTTCAATAAGAGAGAGATGACTGACTATACTGTTGATCACTGGTTCGCACAGACAACACATGCGATTGTCTATAACAATGTAAGACCCGTTCAGTCGACTGTAAGCAAGAGATAATGACAACAAAAATACTAAAAGATAGTTATATTAAACACAAACAGAGAACTAACGGTTCGTCTAAAACAATGTTTGTCTGAAAACTACTGTCCGATACTAACATTGTTTGCGATGCACTGCAATGATCCACACATTTTGATGGCACTGTTGTTAATATACTACTAATACTTAATACTTATTTGTTGTGAAATTTGTGTCCAATTTATTCGTACAGTCATTCACTTACACATCA